ACGCGAAAACCTTATCTTAAGTAAATAATATGAAATGATTCGACAATCTACATTGTTCAAGCTCTAGGTGCAAAAATACCCATTAACTTTACAGTTTTGTATGTTGTGTTTAAGAAAAATGCTTCAAAGCAATCACTTAATATTTATTTCATATAAAATGTGGACCAAAAAAAAAAAAAAAAGAATATAACCATCTTTTTACATTCAAAGTCAAAGAGACTTAGCATTTTATTAATACTGAATACAAAAATCAACTTGTAATAATATTTATTTTAATATTACAATAAAAAAAAAAAAATTAAAGAATACAATAATACTTTGTTTTGCATCGAATGCAGCATCTTGTTAAAAATTTCAGCCTTAAAATAAGCTAAGTTACCTGACGCTACTTTCTCATCTAATAGATTAGGTTAGATCTTAACCTGGGCTTGAAGTTTTACTGACTAGAATGAAAAATGTTGCATCTTCTTGACTCGCTTAAGAATTAGATCTCAGTGTTGATGGCTGATATCCTTTGTTTCAAAAATACTTTACCTGTCACCTTATTAATCTAGGCATATACTCACGAACCAATTCACCTATATGAAATTAGGTTTGAGCCCACTATTCTTTTATATGCTTTTGTTTAGAACCACTTCACTCAATCACCTTTTTCTTCTTAATGTTCACCTTCTTCCAAAACTGCACTCCTTTTCGTGTTATTTCAGATCAAATTGACCAATTCCATTCTATTTATTCACCTGCCATTGTTGTTGTTATTGGATGCTTTAATACTTATTGCATCAAATGACTCTAGTATCACAAATCCTGCTGGTACTCAACCCCATTGCTATTTGTTGCTTTAATATTTATCGCACTGAACGACGCTAGAATGATCTTCTTCTGTAAATATCTAGAATGAGAGAGTTCACTCATCGAACGAACTTTCTCCTTCATATAAATCTAAACTTAAATAGCTTGCAACATTGTTGAATTTATTTTTAAAAAATTATTAATGTAATACATACATACATTTGAGTTTCATTCAGTTTCATCAGTATTTCAAAGATTTACTTAAAAAGACCTTACCACACTTTACTTAAAAATACCTTATCACACTTATTGATTGTTAACTAATTTATAAATAATTATATTATTTATAATAATAAGTTTTTATAATTTTTAATTTTTTTTAAAGTTTTCACTTACAGTTTCTATTATTTACTATATTTAGCATTCATCTTGAAACATTCGCAATGAACATTCACGATGAACATTCACCTTGTAACATTCATAATGAACATTCACCTTGTAACATTCACAGTGAAAATTCACCTTGTAACATTCACAATGAACATTTCTACTATTTAAAAGACTATTATTCTTAAAGGCAGAAATTAAACCTTTTTAAGATCTTAGTGCGAATCAAAATGATTAAAAATCGTAATATATAATTGAATGGCCATAAAGTTGCCATTAAATTAATAATAAATATGTCTAAGTTATTAGGTGTTCGAATTCGGGACAGATTGTACTTCAGTTATTAAAATGTGAATCAAATAATTTAACATTTTTTAAAATCATTCACTCAAACGCTCGTAAATTATTTGAGAAGTCAATTCAACAATTTAACCAATGTATTTATAGTTTTGAGCTTCGATGACTCTTATACTCTAATGATTTAGAGAAAAGTTTTTTTTAAATTTATTAGTAACAGCATAATTTATAATATTCATAAATTGAATTTTAGATAAATTTAATTTATTGTAAATAAACAAAAGCCCCCGAATTAGATTGAAAAAAAAACTTCTTTACAATCATATAAGTAAAGCACTCAAATGGTACAAAAAAAAACAACAACAACAGTAAAGCACTTAAATAGTAGTTCTTTTTCAAGAACCACAAAAAATTTCCTAACGTTGCTGGCTTGCATATGGGTGCGAAAATAAAATGCATCATGAAAAAAAAAAAACTTAAAAAAGCTGGGCTAAAAACGAGGATACAGCAATATCTCTAAACTTACAGGATACACCTTATCCCTAAACTTACTGTGCTAACTAAGCTGGCTCCGTTTTCAATACAGCTATCAAAATGTTGAGAAAGTCCAACTTTCAAAAAATTTCCAACAAGAATCTCAAATCTTCACATACTACACACATTAAATAAGATCACTCAAATAGATAACAGTTTTATAAAGAATCTACAAGTAGATTAAGAAGCAGCATCAACACTCATTTATGCTGTGGCCACAGTTAGCAAACTGGTGTTTATGAATCAGCAACAGCAACACCTTCAGCAACATTAAAACAATTAAGAAACCCTTCAACAAACAAGAAGCCATTCAAAATAACTACATTATTCACTTTAATGAACTTATTCAATTTTTTAAAAACTGTCAATAAAACGATATCTCATAAAATATTTAAAAACAACATTTGTGGTATTTTTAAAATTGATTTTGACTGTATAGGTTTTCTCTTTTAAACCCTAAAAATACATAGAATATGTATCGATTTTTATTTAAACATTTTTATTGAAAGCTAAAAATTAGACCAAATATTAAACTTTAGATAATTAAATTACGGTGAGAGTAAGTTAATTAAAGTTTTGTTTTTCTGTTTCTAATCTTTCTGCTCCTTTTTGAGAAATTAATTGTTGATAAATAATTATATACAACATCGCTATAGAAATATAAAATAGAAATATGTGATATAATTAGAATAGAATAGAAATATGCGATATAAATAATAATTATGTTGATAATAAAACAAACAAAATAAAACCGACCTTTATTAGTGAAATGGTCATGAACAGCTCTAATAAAGTGTTGAAGGAACTCTCCATCAAGTTTATTTGACAATACTAAATATACATTTTTATTTGAAAATAGGACTTTATTTTATTTGGAAATACTAAATATACATTTTTACACTTTTATATTTTCTACTTTATATAATAAACATTTATAAACTATAAAAATAATGACAATAATATAAGAAATAAAAGCTGCATACAAAATAATAGCGAGAGAATACCAATTTATGTTTTATATAAGAAACATCACTTGAGAAATTTAATTTGTCTTTATATAGTAAACACTGTAATTTTTAATTTTTTCAGAAATTAAAATTTCTAAAATCCACAAAACTTTTCGAAAAAAAAAAAAAAAAAAATCTCTATTTTTTATAACTTTATACTATTTGATTGGAAAAATGTAAAAAAAAAAAATCATTTGAACTCAATCATCCCAGACTAAATAAAAATCGATCATCCTAGACAACTTCACACAATTCATATTCAGATATTTTTAGGTTGTACAAGATCTGCAAATTAAACTTTGATGTATTCATTAAACAATAAAAAAAGAAAAAAATATTGCATTTAATGTTTTTAATGAAAGCATGCAGTCAAAAATGCATCTGTACATACAAGCATACATAGCTTGTCTTGATTAATCAGATCATATATGTTTTTACCTTACATTTTATTAAAGTCAATGTTTTTTTCTTATTTAATTTTGTTCCTATTTTAAACTGTTCACAAATTTTTGTGGCATTACTGGAATTATCTCAGAGACTTGAAACTAATTTGAAATTTAAAACATGACTTAACAGTATTAATACTACTAATATTAACTAATATGATTCAACTAATAGTTTTTAAAACTAAAAAAAAATTAAATTTTAAAGTTAAAAGAAATAACATAAGACAAAGCATAATAAATGGTGATTGGTCAAAGCATAACAAATAGTGATTGGTCAAAGCATAATAAATGGCGATTGGTCAGACAAAATGATCAACAATTGATCATTTTGACTTAGGTGTCCAGAGCATATGTACAAAGCATATTTCAAACCCTGTATAAGTGTTAAAACAATTTCTGTTTTTTACATCAAACCTATTGTTGATGCTTTTATATGATTATTGTTATTTATTGATAATTTAACAAATTAAGATGTACTATAACAAAAAAAAAAAAAAAAAAAAAAAAAAAAAAAAAAAAAAAAAAAAATGGATTAATACATTCTGGTAACTTAGGAATATCAATTTGTTTGAGGAGTTCTGCATGATCTGAGCTTTTATTTGTTTTGATGCTCCAAGCTTGCAAAAATTCAAACCCACTCATCTAAAAGTATCAAGTAAAATATATCAATTTAGTGAAATTTATATATACATACATACACACATATATATATATATATATATATATATATATATATATATATATATATATATATATATATATATATATATATATATATATATATATATATATATATATATATATATATATATATATATATAATATATTATATTGTTAAGATAATAGTTTTGAATAACAAAATAATGCTCAAATAACTTAAACATGTGTTCTGTATAACCAAAACATAAATAAAAAAAAGTTCAAAATTTTAAGTCTTATGTCTTTATGTTTTAAAATAATATGGAAATGAAAACATTAAATCTAAATTTGGTATTATAAAGTTTGGTATTATAAAGTTTGGTATTATAAAGTTTGGTATTATAAAGTTTGATATTATAAAGTTTGGTATTATAAAGTTTGGTATTATAAAGTTTGATATTATAAAGTTTGGTATTATAAAGTTTGGTATTATAAAGTTTGATATTATAAAGTTTGGTATTATAAAGTTTGGTATTATAAAGTTTGGTATTATAAAGTTTGATATTATAAAGTTTGGTATTATAAAGTTTGGTATTATAAAGTTTGGTATTATAAAGTTTGATATTATAAAGTTTGGTATTATAAAGTTTGGTATTATAAAGTTTGGTATTATAAAGTTTGATATTATAAAGTTTGATATTATAAAGTTTGATATTATAAAGTTTGGTATTATAAAGTTTGATATTATAAAGTTTGGTATTATAAAGTTTGGTATTATAAAGTTTGGTATTATAAAGTTTGGTATTATAAAGTTTGGTATTATAAAGTTTGGTATTATAAAGTTTGATATTATAAAGTTTGGTATTATAAAGTTTGATATTATAAAGTTTGGTATTATAAAGTTTGGTATTATAAAGTTTGCTATTATAAAGTAGCAGGAGAAAAAAAGTAGTAAAATCTGTTTATAGTTATAAAAAAATTTCTGAAACATTCTTTAAACATAAAACATGTTAAAATAATAAACTAAATAAAAGGTTTTAGATATCTCTAATGGTTACACATTACTCATGTGTAATCGTTGGTTACACATTACTCATGTGTAACTGTTGGTTACACATTACTCATGTGTAACCATTGGTTACACATTACTCATGTGTAACCGTTGGTTACACATTACTCATGTGTAACCATTGGTTACACATTACTCATGTGTAACCATTGGTTACACATTACTCATGTGTAACCATTGGTTACACATTACTCATGTGTAACCATTAGAAATAGTTGAAGGTGAACTAGTTACTTTTAATAAATGTTTATTAGTTTGAAACTGAAAATATTATAAATAGTTTACTTATATAATCTATTGATATATATACACACACACACACACACACACACACACACACACACACACACACACACGCACACACACACACACATAAGTATCAATAGATTGCTTTATTGAAATATACACAAGTTGTTGCAGATTTCAAGTTTTTTTACTTTAAGTGAAAAGGATCAACCAAAAAATAGCCAATACCATCAAGTGACACAGAAGTCAATAAATCTACTAACAAGGAAAAAAAAAATTGATACTTAGGATTAATATAAAGCTTATATAAAATAAAAAATATAAACTTGCATTCATTCTTCAATTTTAGGTTTAAAAATGGGAAGAAATGTTACATAGAGAAAAATATGAGTTGAAAAGTTTATGAAGTTCATAAAAAGACTTTCTATGAACAAACATTTTTTTCATGTTTCTACCAATTTCAACCTTCTCAAATCGGAGGCTCTGTAGCCAAAAGTAGGAAATGATGATAACTACTGTATGATGATAACATATCGTAAATGATGATAACTATCGTATTATGATAACTATCGTATGATGATAACGTATCGTAAATGATGATAACTATCGTATGACTAAATTTTTAAAGAATAAAACATAGAGACTACTCAATCAAAACATAAACACTGAGTTCTTGTGCTTTTTTTAAAAAAGTAAAATTATTTTAAGAGTTTTAAAAGAAAGTAAAATTATTTTAAGTTGTTTTAATACTTAAAAATGATTAATTGATTGATTTTGATTATTGATGACAACTGTAAACATATAACAACAGAACTACTTTTTATGATAAATTAAGCTTTGACCCATTCACTATTTACCTTAACTCGTATACATTATATTAGCCATGATTCCATCAGATTAAGAATTATTTTTATCTTTTTTGTGGAAAAATTGCAACTGTTTACCAGTTGCATTTCCACGTACTAGAACTGAGAACTTTTGCTGAAAAAATAAATTTCTCACCTTTGCTAATCAAGAACATAATCAAAGTTCATCAATCAAGATCATCAGCAATATACAGCTAAGTTTTATTTGGGTTGAAATTTAATAGCTTCTAAAAGCCCTTAAACTGTCCAAATGAGATTTAAAAAAGGGCAGAAAGAGAAAAAAAGGTTAGAAAGAAAAAAAAAGGGTAGAAAGAGAAAAAAGAAATACGAATATGAATATATACGAATGATTAGTAGATAATACATAAAGATAATATAAAAACTATATATATATATATATATAAGAAAACAAAAAATCATTTAAAAAAAAATTATAAATAAAAAAATAATAATAAGTAAAGAAATTTCTATAAATAACCTTTTTAGGTGGTGCTGAAAGATTCGTCTTTGGTGCACTATTTTTTTCATGTTTTACTTTGGAATGATTTTCAGCCTGCTTAAATAAAAAATTCATTTTTAAAAATTTTAAATATTTCTTTAGTTAGGTTAATAAAAAAAATTAAAAAAGAAAAAAGCTAAAAATTTTTATACTAATCATATATTTGTCATAGAAATGTAGGCTCTTGACAAATGTAAACTATATTAACAAGTTTATCATAATTTTTTTGTTATTAAAGTGCTCTTGGAAAACTTAACAACAATTTTATTACATAACACTACAGAACCATTTATTAGGAAGCTCACAACTTCTAACTCACCAATGATGCTTATCTAACATCAAACCATGATCCACATGATTTTGAACAAGAACTGAACAGAAAATAGAAAACCAATGCTCCAGATTATATTGCCATTGTTCAAAAAAAATGAGATAAATGAGAATGAGCTACATTTTTAAATTTTTTTATCTTTTAAATCCAAAATATATTTTAAATTGTCTTTTATTTTTAAGTCTTCTTTTTACATTCAGTATTTTTTGGAAAAACTATTGAGTACATTCCTCCTTGGTTAAAATGATATAGTGCCAAGGTTTATCTGTGTAGTATATTTCTAGGATTACAAAACAAATGAGCTACATTTAGAACTGTAGCTTATTCTCATAAACGAAACTAATAATAACACTGCTTTGAATTGTTAATGTAGAGTTCTTCAACCACTGTATGAACAGTATGACACAAGATATCCTTGTTCACACAGAACTTGTATGACACAAGATATCCTTGTTCACACAGAACTTGTAGAATCATTAGGTGTCTCAATTTCAAATTTACTATCAGTTGCTTTTATTGGTAATAAAAGAACATTTTCATTTTCAGAAGCCTAGTTTATCAGATGTCTTATTTATTATAATTACAATAACCTTTATACTTTTGTATGATGATAAAATTGTCAATAAATGAAATAAATCTTTTAATTGATGATAAATCAAAAAAAAAAAATTATGCATTAACTTAAACATTTGATTATTTGCGCAATATATGTGTCAACCAATCAACACTGACAAAAATAAAAAATCATAAAAGTTTATAAAGAAAGTCATAAGCTTACAGACGTAACTTCTTCAATGTTAATCCTTTTTCCTTTTAATTCTCTTTTTTTAGTTTCAGTATTTAATTGAATCTCTTGTAATGTCTAAAGCAATAAAACAGCATTTGATTTATATTATATTATATAACTATATATATACAACACTTATAAATAACTATATATACACAACACATTAAACACTTATTTAATTTTTGTTTAAAAAATTACACTAACATAATATATATTCTAAAAATACACTAACATAATATATATATATATATATATATATATATATATATATATATATATATATATATATATATATATATATATATACATATATATATATATATATATATATATATATATATATATATATATATATATATATATATATATATATATATATATATATATTTATATATATTTATATATATATATATATATATATTTATATATTTATATATATATATATATATATATATATATATATATATATATATATATATATATATATATATATATATATATATATATATATACACATTTACGGGACATGTTTTTTTTATTCTGTAACGTATTGTTTTTAACTTTTTTCCTGCTATTTTTATTATATTTATTTAATTTTTTAAATTTTTATTTTATTTCTATTTTTATTTATACATATTTAAATTTATTATTTTATTATTAAAATATATTTTTTATATTTATTTTTGTTATTTTTATTTATTTATTATATTACATTTCATTTTATTTTTCATCTATCTACAAAAACGATTAATTACTGTAATAAAACTATACTTAAACCTTGCCGTAACCCTAACCTTAAGCCTGACCTTGATGCTGACCCAAACCAAAAGGACATTTTTTTTTATAAAAAAACAATGCTTACAGGGATAAAAAATTAACAAGTATACAAAAATGTCCCATATAATGCCAATTTTCCCATAAGTATTCTTTTTTTTTCTAAAATCTGTCCCTGCAAGCAATACTATAGGTGTGTGTGTGTATATATATATATATATATATATATATATATATATATATATATATATATATATATATATATATATATACATATATATATATATATATATATATATATATATATATATTTTATTTTATTATTTTTTTTTTTTGATAAGTAAACAAACTAATAATATACTTTTAATAAATGTAAAAAAAAACCTCAAACGAAGTATCAAAAGAAGTAATTAAACACAGCAAACTTTTAAACTAGACAAGGTAATAACTTAACTTGCTGAAAAACAAAGTTAGTTTTTGTAAATTAAAATTTTTTTTTATAAATACCTTTCTGTACAGTTCTTTGCAAATTTCTATTTCATCTTTTGTTGCAGTATTTTTTGGCTCAATTTTTAACAGTGCAGAAAAATCACTTAATGCTTCTTTGTAACATTTTGATGCCTTAAAGAAATGTTTTATATATATATATATATATATATATATATATATATATATATATATATATATATATATATATATATATATATATATATATATATATATATATATATATATATATATATATATATATATATATATATATACAATTAATAAAGCATGCAAGAAAATCCTGTATCTTCAACAACCACGAAACATGGATTAAAAAAAGAAATAAATTGTCTGATGTCATGATGGGGGCATTTGATGATGCAGAAGATTGCAAATTAATAGATAAGACCATCATGACAATGGTCTTACCATATTTAAGAACAAAAATGATCAGTAAATGGATAAAATTAAAAAGCATATAACACATATTTCTAAAAGAAACAATCTTTAAATCACAATTCAATCCAATTTAAAAGTTGTTAACTACCTCGTTATGTTAAATCTAAATGACAATACTTTGCAACCATATTGTAAACCTGATAATCAATAATAAATAAAGGTACATCACTCTAATTCTAACCACCCTCCAAGCATAATAAAAGCAACCCCTCTTTAAAAAGGCTACTCCACCATATAAAAGAAGCTTTAAAAAAATTAGGATACAAGACAAAGCTTACCTACCAATCACAATTATTTTTAAATCAAAATCTTAAGGTTCTATCCTTTTTATGTTCTATCCTTGACCCTAAATTTTTTAATTTACATTAATAGTCTCCCAGAAATTCTCACATCTAAGGTGGGATTGTTCGCTGATAATACTACTATTTATTCTTGTCTTGATAAGAAGCCAACACTCTCTGATTGCTTAAAAGGGACATTTGAGCTTGAAAAGATTCTTACTTCTGCTACAGCATGGAGTTCTCAGTGGCTGGTGAAGTTTAACTCAGATAAAACTCAATTTTTTCAGCTAATCGTTATCACAATAACCTAGATCTTTCTATATTTATGAGCAGTAATGTACTCAATGAGTCATCTACCATTCATCTTCTAGGATCAACTCTTACTTCCAATCCTTTTCGGAAACCATATATATATATATATATATATATATATATATATATATATATATATATATATATATATATATATATATATATATATATATATATATATATATATATATATATATATATATATATATATATATATATATATATATATATATAACCAAATCCATTGCAAAATTAGCATTTTATTCTTTATCTCTATAAATCTCAAATCTGTTCTTGTATGGAATACTGTTACCATACCTAGAGTGAATCTTCCAATGATGCCCTATCTCTTTTAGACAAGGTGTAAAAATGCATTGTAAACACAGTTGGACCTGCATTTGCAGCCAACTGTGTTTACATCGTCTTAATGTTGTTATAATATCGTCTTAATGTTGCTTCTCTTTCTCTTTTCTATAAATACTATAATGGACAATGCTCTAAAGAGCTAGAGTCTTTTGTGCCATCTACTAAAATTCACTCTCGTGTTAATCGCCTCGCGTGACTGTTGCTAAGTGCTTCAAAAATTCTTATTCACGCATTTTTAATTTATTGAAATTAATAATATGATCACACTATAAATTTATTAGAAAACAATAGTAATATAAATAAAAATTAAAAAAAAATCAAAAAATATTGAAACAAGGACAAGTTTTCATATTTATAAAAAAATGTGACCAAAATAAATAAACCACAACAACAAATGTAGCAAATCATAATTAAAAAAAAAATTAATAAAATTGAAAATAATATTTTGTTGACAATCCTTTTAAACATTTATTAATCTGTGTCAGCATGGAATTCACTAAATATCTGAAATATATTTCTAAATATCTTTTGGAAAATTATTCAGTAATTTTGTTACTTCTTCATTCAGCTAGTTTAGATCATAGGCTTCCCTCATAGTATTTTTGAATTTCAGGACAATAATTTTCTTGAATTTTAGGATAATTTCAGGACATTATTACATAAGGCAGTTTTTGTTAAACTGGCTTCTCCACCAGTCCATACCTCACCTGTTTTATTTATATTTTATATGAAACAGGAAGATCAAAACAATTATTTATTAAGTAATTGACACAAAACAAGAAACAATAATTAAAATCAACAGTAAGTTATTACACAATTTTCACAAAACTCAAGTATGAAAAATAAAAGTTATTGCGCAATAGATGGTCTTCTAAAAGAATTAAGACATCCATCTAAAAAATAAATAATATGCTAGATAATAAGTTTTAGAGAAACTAATTCAATTTAAAAAAAGGCTTACATCTTAACTATGTTTAATTCTTTTCTCAGGTTGTTGTAACCTATCTGTTTTATGAAACATTTTTGATGATGCAGAAGATTGCAAATTAATAGGTAAAACCATAAAGCAAACTTAAAAAAGGTTCTTAAATGTTTCAGCTGAAGTTTCTATTTGCTGAAGTAAACATGTTGGCCACTTTTGCTTACTGCATGCTTGCAGCCCTTCATTGTAAGCAATAGCTTAACATCATTAATGAAGAATTTGGCTATGACTTCTTCCATTATTACTACATTTTCTAATTTTATCTGTGCATCCAGTTTCTGTTTAATTGATTTCTTTTTTTCTTCATTCTCTTTTTTTATTTATACAATTTTTTATTTCTTCTATATATGGTAAAGGTGGACATATTGGTGATCTCTGATGAATTAGAATGTTTCATATAAAAGATGGTTGCTTCAATTCCTTCTTGATGTGGGATACTGGTATAGAGTGGTGACATCTGCTGTAACAAAAAAAAAAAAGTTAGAAGAGATAAATTGATGGGATTAAAGCATATGAAGAAAATGAGAAGTATCTTCGATATATGAGGGGAGGAATTCTGCCACTGGTTGTATAAAGTGTGATAAATTTAGATGAATGCTCTATGGCATAGGAAGTTTGCAAAAGAAATAATATATTTAGTAAAATTTTTAATTGTTTCATTTTCAACATCTTCATGATACCCAAAATAATTCATGGATTGTTGCAGAATCTGTAATAAAATATGTGTATGTGTGTTTATGTCTTCCTATGAAAATACATTGAGAGGCTTAAATGATATAAGAAGTTTGATGTTGAGAGATCCCAACAAGGAATAAATAGATGAATGATGTCAAAGCAAACATGCGCTCAACTAGATCAAAAATAAAAAATAAAAATAAAATTGTCAGGAGTGGAATCAAACCAGAATCTCTGCCTACGAAGACAACGTCTTAACATT